TTTTTTTTTGATTTCGTTTAATTCTTCCGCGGCTCCGCGTTTCCCTCGATTCACTTTCTATCGACACGTCCACGCTTTTCTGACTACGTGTTTCTCTTCCGAGGAGAAACTTCCGCGAGCTGTTCTTCACTTGTACACTTTTCGGCATCTTTAATATGTTTCAATTTTTTTTTTTTTTTTTTTTTCGTAGATTACTATTTATCATAGCTAGTGTATTAATTGTAGCGTCACGCAAGAAGTATCTAGTAAAATTTCTACGAAGTTATAAATATTTCAGCTCACTTTTTACCACGTTACGATTCCAACTTGTTGCAGCCTGTCGTAAGAAAAGATTCATCACTTTGTTCTTCAATGATGTTTAAACAAAACGGAATACATACATGCACCAGTTTCTTCTAAAATGTCATTTTTTTTTAAAAACTTGGAAAATTCAATGGAAGTTGTCTCTTTTACGACCCTCACATTTCTGATACAATCTTCAACGATGTTTCTTTAGTTTTCTGCGTTCCCGTGTGTATCTTCTTCTTCTTACCCTTCAGTTTCTCTCGATTTACAGTCTACTCTATATATCAATGCTCTCGCAGCTCTATTAGCCTTCTAAAACAATCGTCAACGATATTCCTCCAATATTGATCTTTGCAATTTTTTTGTATAAGCTTGTCTCTTACGTTCATCTTGCGTTCAAAAAGCGACTTGACTACTTCTTTCTTAGCGACATCAAACTTGCTATCGTGTTTGCTCATACTTCATCTTCTTTCTGCTTCCAGCTCTTCTTTCTCTTCTTCCAGCTTCTCCGTCTTTTTCCTCTGCTGCCACCGCTGTTACTTCTCCTTCTTTTTCGTCTTTTTCTTCTTGTTCCTCTCTTCTTGTTGTTCGTTTTCGTTCGCGCTACTTGTTCGCCTTTTTCTGCTACTTCGTCTTCGATCTTCTCTTCTGCCCCTGCCATTTCTTCTTCTTCTTGTCCTTCGGTTCCGACCCCCCATGCCTGTGGCGGTAAAATGACACGGACCAATCGCTGCTGCAATTTTGTAATCACCACCGTCTGGTCTCGGGACGCTTCTTACTAAAAATAGATATCGAGAACGATCGCTCCGGACGAGCGAAGCGCGACCAGTCGCCGAAAAGTTCTTTGATTACAACCCCTTCTGCTTGGCGAACGTGACCGAGCAACGCGACCAAGGTTCTTTCAGTGTAGCCAAGGTCTTGCCAACGTTCTTTTCTGCATTTTACGATTTTTCTTTGCCTCATTATCGAGGAATTTGGCCGTACGCAGCCTGAAATAAATATTCGGTTACGATTTCCCCAGCTCGAGATCAACATGATTGAGCAAAGAACCGAGAAGATTCTCGGCAGGAAGATATTAAAATCTCTGAAATATTTCTATAGTTTGGCAATTTTTCTTCTTTTTTTTATTGAAGAACGTATGTAGAATATATGTAGTTTATAGTTCATTAAAAAAAAAAAAAAAAAAAATTCGCAAA